TGAAAGCCTGGGTGTGCAATCAGTGAGGACTGCTGGCTCCCCCTCGGAAGCTGAGTCACGGACCTGGCCAGTTGGTTGAATCACTTGGAAAGTGGTTAGAGTGAACAGGACATGGAGTGATTAGTAATTCAGTCTGGCCTCAGAGCTTCATGGTTTTCACTGTAAGACGCCAACTGCAGCCTTTCCCTTGGAGTCAACAGGAAGCGAGAAGAGCAGGCCAAATTTGACACCCCTTGACGTAACCCAGGATGGACTTCAGCCCTTCTTTCTCCACCCAGTAACAGAGACTTTTGAAATGGAGCTTTTCTGGCCAAACACCCCTCAAGTACCAAGGGTGGAATCAAGAAGCAGGGTCTAAAGGAACCCCGTTTGGATAACTAATTAAACCCTTACCTGGACGTCATGTAATAGAAGGAGGAGAAAGGAGAGGAAGAAGGAAGATGTCTCAATTTTGGACCTGAAGACAGTAAGAATAAAAAGTAATGCGCATTCCCTAAGCTACTTGACCAACTTGAAAAAGATTGTGAATGAGGTAAACACAAAATCTATGTTCCTGAATTTCTTTTTCATTCTGCTGAACTTGTGGAAGATCCCTTTGAGCAGAGGAGGACATGTCCATGTGGCGAGCCCTTAAACAAACAGTCGATTTAGGAAATAATTCCTTTTTCTGATTAACATCACTCTGTGCTGATGGGTTCATGGTCAGCCATGTGCAACTCTAGTCATGATCGTAGTGAGATTTAAACCGTGACCATCTCACTCAAGTGCAAGGCTTAAAATATATATGTTTTTGCACGAGCTTCTAAATTCCCCTTATTTTCTGTCTTCTCCACTTCTTCCCACACCTAGTCCTCAGATTCATTTCCTAAAACACCAGTGCCTTACATGTATTTGGTTGGCACTAGGCCATCCATTCTATAGCAAGGCAAGGCTAAGAGCTGAGACTCCACCGGCGTAATGAGACTGTGGTTATGATTACTTCACCATCACAACAAAAAGAGGTTCAAGTCATGCTGCTGAGGAATATAAATTTCTTACAAATCCTACATGGGATGATCTTTAAAACAAAATGAATTTTTACTGTGGGATGCTCTCTGTAGTTCAGACTGAGAAACAAATAGCGCCTGTCTTAGTTACTTTCCTATGTCATGACAGAACACATGGGCCAAGGCAATTGATAAGCGAAAGCATTTCATCCGGGGCTCGCAGTTCCACCGAGTTAGAGTTCATTCATGACCACATGGCACAACTGGGCATGAGCATGGCAGCAGGCAGGTTGGCATGTCACTTAAGAATTCACCCCCTTATCCACAAGTAGAGAGAGCTAACCGGAAACGGTGTGAGCTTTTGAAACTGCAAAGCCCACCCCCGCCCCCACCCAGTGACAGTTCTTCCAACAAGACCACATCTCCTAATCCTTCCCAAGCAGTTCCACCAGAGGCAACCTCATTCAAACCACCACAGTCCTTGACAGAAATCCTCACTTTTCTTCCATATTCCTGTCCTCTCTTCCCAGACCCACGTCTCCACTTTACCAGAAGAAACATGAAAAGGAGCTCCTCCTCCTCTTAGAATCAACAAATCCAATGGAAAGAGCACGCTCCCCTGTGCTGCCGAGTGTTGGGGTGGCCTGAGCATAAGATATTGAATGTAGATGAATTCAAGAAAGGGGTCTCTCCCAAGCCAAAGAAGGTGGGTAGGATGTGGAGGAGTCCACACAGAAAACCCTCAGCAGGCCCAGGTCCCACAGCCTTGTCCTCTCAAATGGGATAAAGGATTAAGTTGTTTGAAAATGACCAGATTCCTGATGTTCCCCTCTCCTCATAGTGTGTGACTCAATTCTTTACTCAAGCCCTCCAATAGAAGGGAATTAATAAAAAGTGTTAGTAGTTGCAACAATAATAAAGACCAACCATCCCTAGTGCGGAATGAGCAGTTAAAATATTCCTCGGATAGCACAGCTCATTGTAATTATTGGGACAGAGGTCCCTGAAGGGGATGAGAAGACCAGAAAACTGTGGAACTGAACATCATGAGGCCCCCCAACCCCATGCCTTACTCCCTCTTCACAGGAGATGGCATGAGGGGCCAGGTAGACCCAGATTCTAGTGTTGCAGGAGCAAAGACCACTTTGCATTGGAGAAAAACCAGAGAAGGAAGAGAACATGCCCTTGGTCTGCCTTTTCTCCGAGTCCTCCCTCTGACCACACAGGCTCCGGTCACAATTTAACCCCTGCTCTCTCAGATGTGCTGTCTGCCATCTTGGGGTTATTGTGTCAAACGGCTTCCTTAGTGTCTGAGAAAGCGCTACCTTGGGAGAAAGTGTTCAGAAGCAGCTACTCAATCCCAGTTGCACCTACATTTGGATTGCACAGAAAATCAGCCTAGCAGGGCAAGAATTTTAACATCATCTTACTAGTGCCCCAACAGCCTACTTGGAAGTAGAGGCCATTCTTGGAATCCTGTGGTATCAAGCACATCTTAGGTCAATAGGTTTAGCATTGGCCATGCATCCCTGCACTTCTCATTGAGTATATTCTCCAGATTCATTCTATATTTCTTAAATCATTTTTATAATAATACATGTCCAGAAATATATGGTTAGAATAACTAAATGAGCCGGGCGGTGGTGGCGCACGCCTTTAATCCCAGCACTCGGGAGGCAGAGGCAGGCGGATCTTTGTGAGTTCGAGGCCAGCCTGGTCTACAGAGCGAGATCCAGGAAAGGCGCAAAGCTACACAGAGAAACCCTGTCTCGAAAAACCAAAAAAAAAAAAAGAATCCAACAAAGAATAACTAAATGAGTTAGCATAACTTAGACTGTTTCCATGAAAGATCAGGTAAAAATGTTTTAGGCATAGTCTGTCTCAGCTGCTTCACCTCCATTAGAGTTGAACAAAATCAACCACAGGTGAATGAGTATGACCATGTTCCAATAAAACTTTATTTATAAAACCAGACAGTGAGCTGGATTTGGCCACCTGCTATAGTGAAAAGACCCCTGGCTCAAGCAGTGATCATTCACTAGATTGATCATAGTTCTCACCCTAATCAGAACTGACAGGTCAGGTTCACCTTTTGCTTATCTTTCCTAATAGCATCGGTAATTAAACTCTGAGTGCCTTACCTTGTCCATTCATCACTGGCCACTGAGGAGGAAAGGGAATGTGGCTGGATCTTTACCTTGCTTATACATGCATATCATCTAGTGGTAGAGAAGTGCAATTGCAAGATTCCACCACCACCACCCCCTTGGTGTCCCTGGTCTTGTTCAAGTACATCCTCAGGAGAAGAAAGCTCCCTCAGGCCGCCCACATGGAACAGCTATGTCTACACCACAGACGCTGGTCACAGTCACATGGTTTCAGACACTCTTCCACCAAGCCCTTGCAGGGTGCTTAGAAAACACAGGTTTGTGTAGATGACCAAAGTGTTCGGTGAGGAGGGAAAATGAACCTGATTGTGAAAATAGTTGTTAATCAATTCATTGTATCATGTGTGTTCAACAATATGAACAGAGAAAATACAGTAAACATTTTTTTCATCTTGTAAATGGACCCCGTTATTTCTTAGCATGAAGTGGAGAGAAGAAGTTCCATTCAGGGTCTTAGTTTTCTCTCTATAGTCTTGGTCTATGCCGCCGTTCACCTTCTGCACCTGGTTTTCCCATCTGTGTTCCTGATAACATATGTTACCTGTACCACTGCCTCATATAAAGGACTGTCAGAGCAGTGGTTGAGAACTTGTCTCTCTCTGCTAGGATTCCGATGTAAATATGAAGTCAATGAAATCTTCATAAATATACATTCTAGACCTGGCTCTTAGTTTCTCGTGTTGTTTGCAGATATTCTGTCGTTCATCATACACTTGAGAAAAATTTTCTCCACCTTGTCCCTGAGATGGCTTTCTCAACTATCTCTTTTCTCCTGCTTTTATTGATGTTTTGCGGATTTCACATCATGCATCCCGATTCCACTCATCTCCCTGTCCCCTCGCCTCCGCCCTCTACCCTTGCAACCTCCCCCCTAAAATTTAAAAGAAAAAAATCAAAAGCCAACCAAACAAAGCAAACCAAACAAAAACAAAACAAGCAAACAAAATAGTGTGCTCTCACTGGGGCTTCTCTTGGATACCCTTCTGTTGTCCTGTGTCGTGGGGGACCCTGCAGTTTGGGATCTGTAGGTTCAGTCCCTTCCCATGGGCCAACAGTTCATAGATGAGGTGGGTGTTGGGTGGACCAACTCACAGCCCTGGTTCTGGGCCTGGGTGGTAACTGGGCTGGTCAGCCCGCCAGCTTTCCCCCATTGTCTCCACCCAGGTGAGCTCTCCAGCACTGCCTTGGCCAGCCTGCAGCAAGGGGTGGTACCAGTTCTCCTGTTCTCAGGCCCTCGGGTCCAGCTCAGTCACACTCACCCCACTAGGGTCAGCTCTACTGTCTTGCCTGGGCTGGGCGGGGTGCAGGGCCCTCTCTCTCTATGTGTAGGGAGTATACAGGAGGAGACGCGCGGGGCCGAGGGGGGGAATGATCAGCTCTCCTGTGACCTGCACAACAAGGTTAGCTGTCCTGTGTGGCAGCTGGTGAGGGGCGGGCCTAGTTCTTCCACCCTGGTGACCCTATGTTAACTCTGTTCTTATGTAGCCACCATTACCACCCGACTCCTCGCCTTCCAAAACTGCTGATGGCCTGAGACCCACATCTCTGACATTCTCTGGAGACCTCAATTCCTGGGCACTCGGTCCCCTCTCCCGTCCTTCCTGCGGCTCTGACTTAGAAGGATAATGCTTTTGAGGAAGTTTTCCATCCCACGGTTTGAAACAAAAGTTCCTGTTTTGTTTCCCCCAACTTTTGAGGCTGATGGGAAACGCTGGACAGAACCGGTCACATTGCTCTCTGGAATCGTCTTGTGATTCTTGGCCCCTGGCCCTTCCCCACGCTTTACTCTGCCTTGTCAGGTTTTCCACAGCAGTCAGATAACACACCCATTCCTCTTTACACCTACCTCTGGACTCACCCCGCTAAGTTTTAGAATAGTCTTGGGATCATGGATGAAGAGAACGCTGGGCGCTAAAACAACAGACACAGCTCTTGCAAGACCAGAATTCTGTCCCAGGCTGTGACAGGAAGTAGCTGAATGTCAATGTCTGCAATAAAACAAGAGAGTTGATCTCAATGAACGCTGAAGTCTGCCTCAGTCAACGTAATCTGTCGAACTAGATCTAAAATAGTTATCAAAAGAGGTTGTCTGGTTTCAATCATAGTCATGCATCACTTAACAAGACTATGTTCTGAGAAACAAATCATTGGGAGACTCTGGAGGTTTGTTTGTTTGTTTGTTTGTTTGTTTGTTTGTTGAGAAAAAATCTCATGTGTTCCAGGCCAGCCTCAAATTCAATTTATAGCTATGGATGAATTTAAACTTCAGATTCTCCTGCATCCACCTTCCCTGTAACTGAGATTATAGGGTGTATATTACCATGCTCAGTTTATGCATGGTGGCAGCTGAATCCAGGGTCCCATGCATGTTAGCCAAGCATTCTACAGACTGCCCTCTGGTTTCATCCAGGAAGTTTTATTCGGTGAGAACATCACAGAGTATACTTACATGAACTTAGCTTGCTAGCCCGTCAGTGGATGGTATAACAGATTGAGACTATCATCACACCAATGACAGTACAACCTCCTCATACTGCTTTCAGGAAAAGATGTTAAAATGACTTAACAAGCCACCATCAACCTCCCAACTTTTGTTAGCAGAAGGTGGAAGCCTTGAGTTTACCCTTTTGTTCTTGGAGCTGGGAGCGAACTCACCTCTCTTACTTTGCCTTTTGTGGCATCACTATTTCTTCTAGGGACATCACTCAAGGTTTTGCAGAGGTGAAGCCTGCCTGGACCCCTGATGGTGTCATCTTCCTTTCCCCGACACCCCCTGTAGCCTACGCTCCAGGGGCGCCTGAGTCTAGGGCTTCAGTGCTGCCCATATAAGAAGGGCCTGCAAGCCTTCTGAAGGCTCTGCAGGTTTCCTCCCATTTCAGAATTTCTGTTTCCAAGTTCTACAAGAAAGAGATATTTTTGAATTTTTATTTGTGGCATATATCCTGCTTATGCCAGCAGATGCGTCAAAGATACCACAACTAAAATAGGATTTTTATAGGAAAACAGAACGTAGGGCCTGAATTAATTGCTGACATCATATGTACTCCCTCAGACTAGCTATTCTGAAACAACTCTGCCCCCTTCCCACATACTTTACCCCCTACCCCTTTCTTATTATTAAGGACATATGTATAGAAATAGGATCTTGCCTTAGCAGACTTTTTCCATGCCAGGCACTCGTTCCCCCAACTGATGTTACAATTCTCTTTTCCACATCACAGTCGGTCGTTGCACAAACGAGAACGTCCTCCAAGAACAGATTGTGACTTTAGGTGGAGAAAGAGCAGCCATCAGAAGCAGATGAACTCCCAGGAAGCCAAGATTGGGACCTTGCCACAAATGTCCTCAAGAAGACACAGGGGGAGAAATACAAGTGAGGAGAAAAAAATCAAAATAGTAGATGAAAGCAGAGGTGAGATTATGTGAGAGAAAACTGGGAGCCAGGTTTCTAAGAGGTATCAGATAATTCATAGGCTCTATACGACCCTGTGTTTTCATTCTCATGTCAAAACCTGTAGCCTCAGGCCACAAATGTTCATTTCCCTGCTTATCTTAGCCCTGGGACCTGTACTCCAAACGACTGTTTCGCTGTCTACTCTTGCTGCTCCTTAGTAGAATTCTGTACTCTCTCTCTTCTCCAAGTAGTCTTCATCTTTTGAGATTATAATTATATCATTTCCTACTTTGCCTCTCTTCCTCCCAACTCTCTCACATCTGTCCCCCACCCCATTTTTTTCCTCTCTCAAATTCATGACTTCTTTTTCTTGAATTCCTTACATGAAACTCAGCACTTGAATGTTTCCCATCTGTCATAAGGTATTTTGGGTCTCAAGTGCCTTCCTCTAATCTTAGCCCCTTCACCATGCTTATGAAGTGGAGAAAAGAATGATGAACACACCCAGAGAGGTCAGGTCAGATAGCGTGGCTGAACTGAGCCTGGTCCTCTGGTGCTTTGGTTTTGGTTTGGTTTGATTCTTGAAAGTTTTAATTTTGGTGAATTTGAAAGGTAGAGTCAAAATGAACTATAGAATGGGCCTGTGGGTAAAAGAGACTTGAGAAGCCTATCAGAGAACTTCCTGGAACTGTGTTGTGATTTGTTTTACTGCTCCCTAAAACACATCATACATTTATGTCCAAAATCACCGTCTCCTTCTAATAACCTGTAAGGTGGATTTTTGAGTATGGACCTGAGAGGGACATATGTAGAGGGAATCACAAAAAAACACCAATAAAATTTAATGGAAACTTATGTCTCAACTGGGAGACCATTGACATTTTCTATATTTGTATTTTTCATTTTTGTATGCATGCCTGTAGGCCATAACATACATGCGGAGGTCAGAGGACAGCTTGCAAGAGTCCGTTCTTTCGTTGTACTGTGTGAAATCAGGGATTGAACATAGGTCATCAGGCTTGGTGACAGGTGCCTTCACCCACTGAGTTACCTCAAAGGCCCAAATGGCTGGGTACTTTAACCCAATACTTAATGTGGTGACCCCTGTGTGGCCACTTAACAAGACTTAGAAGCTAAGTTTGAGTATCTTTGTTTTCCACTCAAGGAAGGTAAAGTTAAGTAGATTGCCCAAACTCCGATCTAGTACCTACCATCTCAGGTCAAGCCAACTCAAGGACTTCTTTCCTCAGTTTCTCCACCAAGGCTTCTCCATCACTTTCCAAAAGGACTGCCCTCCCCCTTCCAGACCCAGTGTCCTCCCAATCATGGCAACCCCAAGCCTTGCTTGGATTTTAATGGCTCCCTCGGAGGAGGGGGTGAGAAGGCGTGGCATCAATGACTCAGACACTGGGAATCCATCTGTTGAAAGCAAATAACGAACTCATTTATTCAATAACAGGGAAGGCCCTCTATACACTCCTCCCAGGGCCCAGTCTATGTGGTCGTCCCTCATTGGCTGGGCATGATCAGCAACTCTGATAGCGACTGTTGCTAGGCCCTCAGGCAGACTCCAGGTTGGCTCTTAAGGAGTACGTTGTGTGCATGCCTTGGCTACTGGTCTGAGCCAATTTCCTCGACCCTATGGGCCTGTCCTACTACACCCAAGGGCAGCTGCAACTTCTCCATTTTGAAACACAGCCATTTGGGCAGGAAAGGATGAGAGACACTGGTCAGGCAGCTAGAACACCAAGGCTCCGCCTTCCTCCTGGTCTCTTGTGCTCACTGTGTTACTTTCAGCAGGTCTCACAGTTAGTTCTCCCCTCTGAAAACAGCGCCCATGTTTCCAAGTTCCTGAAGGCATCCCTGGAAAAACACTCCTTTTCTCCTCTGTCAGCCTGTCTGGCCAGACGCAATTATTCTTCTGAACAGATCTAAAACATTTTCTCCCTATCTCTCCCAGCTTTACAGTCCAGAGTACTTCAATTCCTGGCTCAAATAACATGCCCCCTGTTAATCCACCGGGTGTTCAAAAGTGAAGTGGTTTGTCTCCACTGTCCCTGATCATCCATAGTTAATGGCAGGCCCAGAATCAGTGAGTCAATTGTAAGACAGAGGCTTTACATATCTGCTCAGAGATTCGAGATTGAAAGGAAGAATGAAATGTGGATTCCACACCAAAAAAAAAAAAATTAGCAATTTGCAATCTGTGCTAAACACCTATAATTTTTAATATGCCTCTTAAAACATGAGATAAATTAAAATCTCCTTGCTCTCCTATTTGGGAAACAGCATCCTTACCAGTCTAATGAGAGGTGCAATTAGAAATTAAGTGTAGAGAAGTAGTTGAATAAGTCTTTATTGAATTAAATTCATGTATCTGAACTGAATTAAGCAGAAAGGCAGCTTCGGCTTCTGCTGCTGGAGGCTGACTAGCTGCATGGGTGGAGAGTCAGCCCTAAGGGGAAAAAGGGCTGTCCCTGGCCCCAGCTCTGGGCTAGAACCTCTCAACCCTAGCTACACATTATAGTCATCTGGGGAACTCTAAAAAATGTTGGATGCATGCTTCCCATCCTTAGGATATTTAATTTAATTGGACTGAAGTAGGGCCTTGGCATCCATATTTTTTTAATGCTCCCTAGGTGTTTTTAATGTGCAACCAGCCATGAGACAGCTTGTCAGGAAAACAAGGCTACTCCCTTGTAGCTACAGCTCTGAGGCTGGGGAACCACAACTAGAATCCTGGTCTTTGGGAGTAGGTCAGTTGCATCTCCTGCCATAGGCTATGGGCCAAGGTTTGGTATCTTTCTACAATCAGCATAGCAAGAAAGTTTGCCTACAGAGGGATACTTGCATATATAAGCAAAACAGACACACCACGTCCTACAAACACGGACCAGGAGAGAACTCAACATTCTGACTGGGGTTTTGTTCCCAGCCCAACAGCTCTCTGCTCCTTCCGTTATAGACCATCGGCACCAGGTAAAGAGTTCCAAAGAAAACATTTGGGGATACTGTGATAGAGCCGCAGCTGTGCCTCCATGGAGCGGGAAGGAGGGGGCTGCCAGAGGCTTCCTTCTTTTCCAGTTTCTTCAGCGTTTTATTTGCTGGTTTGGAGACAAATGACGCTGATGTTGTCCTACAGTGACACAGGCTTTTCTCCTCCCATCTGCCCGAGCAACAGCAGCCGCAGCATACCTGGGTGTCTACCCTGAGTCACTGGATGGTCCCCAGGAGGGAGCTCCTTCTCCTAGAGATACTGTGGCTCCTTTGCAAGAGATTTAAAACCCACTTGGCATCTGTCACACTCGACGGTTGTTCATCTGTCATGTTTCCAAAAGGCTCTTGCAGATTTCATGTTTGTGTTTTCCCCTTTTTTCTGGCTTCATGCTCTCCTATGTAAATGAAGGAAACTCTTCCAATGGGAAGGAATAGTGCACTCAAGAGCCGATGCTGATTTCCTACATATTGGCTCTCATTGAAAGCGACTTTGCATACAGCAGCATTCTGTGCTGCGTAAAGGAAATCCAGAACAATCTAAGAAAAAGCCCTTTTATAAATCAATTCCAGTAAAGGAAAAAGCAATAAAA